GTCATTTATTATGTCATGAAAGACAGTATCATCTAGATGCAATATGCAAAAGACACAAAGAACGTTGGAGTGATGAGATTGTAACAATGACATGCTGCAAGTGGTATACCATAGATGGTAAGAGCACTGCACTTGATAGCATGAGATGGTGGCAAAGGATTGCCATCATCTCCAAATCGTCTTGCTTTTTTATTCTCTTTAGTAACAAAAACAATCATGACCATGCCATTAGCCAAAATGAAGAAAACAATGCCCCATAATCTTCACACCATCAACATTTTTTGAACAAGAACTCACACCCAAATATGCAAAACCCTAACGTCATTGAATTAATCAACAGACCCAATGCACCTGCCCTAGCTCACACCAGCATCATAAGCAGTGGTATAATATAGTCATAATCATAAGTTAAGAATTGATAATAAATTCCTAAACCAATTTATCTATCCATCATCTACAAAATGCATGCATCTAATTAGTACTTATGTAGAATCATTAAACAACACACATCACATATTTGGATAAGCTAAAATTTGGCATAATTAGCTATACATGGCTATATTATTGGATGGCCAATAGTCAATCTATTATGATCTCAACGAGTATATATTTCTCGCTAACTAAAGAAAGAAGAGAGAATTGTTTTGCCAGAGTAAAAAGGAGAACAATCCATTGCAATCAGAATTGCTTGTGAGTCAACAATTTCATCCAAAATCCCTAGAACCTTGGGATTGCTACATCATATCTTAAAGAATCTGCAACTACAGACAAATACGGAGTAGTACAATAGAAAAACATACAAACCATTAAATTACATAAAACATACAAAGCTAGACCACTTTTCTTTTACCTATAACCCACTAGAGGGGAGGAGTGACCTATCGGTGATTTCATTGAAGATCTCTAGAATTTTAGGCTCCTTCTCTAGTGTATATTGAAGGGTGCTCAAATTCAAGAAAGTAGTATAATGAAAAACAACAAATCAGCATTACCAGATAAAGTAAAGGTAAATTAGCATTGCAGAGGATCTTTTGCGGATGTTCAAAAACTCTAATCCTAATAATAAAGCAGAGGATCTTTTGCGGATGTTCAAAAACTCTAATCCTAATAATAAAGCAATAAGGGACAACTATTTAAGGAACTTTAAAGGTAAGAAAAGAAAAAGGTTAAGCGAAAGAAGAAGAAAATGAATTCCAATTCTAAACCCAAGAAATGAGTGAGTTGGGTTCATGGCCTAAATATGTTGATATACGATGATTAGTGGGTTGCCATAAGTCTATTTCACATTATTCATACTTAACCTAGTTGCTCTTAGAATTTAGTTGTGGGCAATGGATATAGACAAGGAGGACAACATGTTGATTTGGCGGGCTCTCTTGAGGTTATAGTTCAGTCATTGTTGTTTGCTTCACTGGTGCTATAGTGTTGAAAGCAACAACATAATCTGTAGAAAATGTTGTATTGCATAGGCTGTTGGTCTTTCCTGATGCCAAAGCCGATGGCTATAGCATCATTCACTGCCCAGAATTTTGTTTCCCAAGTTTGAATCAGCGAGCATTTGAAGTCTATTGATGATAAAAGAAATGAGCACCATTTCATATTTCTTGATTATACTTTAGACTTCCTAAGAGGTGTAGGTCCACGTAGTTAGGATAGTGAAGAATAGTTTGACAACATTCTGAGTTGAGAATTTGTTTTAGACATGAGTACATATCAACAGGTGCAAAAACCATGAGGCTAGAATGGATGCAATTGTATGCTTCCAACATTCTCAGCAAGTTTCTTAGCGTATGTCAAGCAAGGCTTTGATTCTACTCTTGAGACTAACTCCAAACAAATAAACACTGAAATGATATTATGTTACGGATTCTGTGTTTCCGGTAGAATGAGTATAAGTTTTTTTCTTGATGCTTTGAGCTTTTGCATTTTTATGGGTTCAGAAGTTTTGTTTCACACTTTCTCTAGGTGTTTTTTTCTCTCTCTATATTTTTTTTAAAAAAAGTAAAATATTTCTTTAACCTGTAACCCTGAAGATAAAAGCTATTTGAAGTTTTGTCATCTTTCTTCTCCTCTCTATCATCATCTTTCCACAAGGCCTTTGTCATTCGGAATCAAACTATAGGAATTATAACCATATAGTAGTGATCAATAGGTTCATGTAGTATTTGATCTAAATTGTATTGACCACTAATTTCCCTTTCAAGTTCTTGTGCCACACCTTGGAAATGGTTAGTGATATTCAACATCAAACGGATGGAATTTTCGAGATACTTAAAAATCCTATTAACAGGTTTAGTTGCACCACTCTTTCCTCCTTTCTTCTTTTTTCCACTTTAGAAGGATTTTCTTTGTGGTAAACCTTTATAGCGCCTTATGTGGTCTAATTTCTAATCTCTTGCTTGAATTTTCTCCACAATTGCCCGGACAATTTGACTTTACTTAGAAAACCTACCTCAACCATGTTGATCAAGTTTTAGATACTCCGTATTAAATAGGAACAAGAACTCATCATTGCAATTCTACACTAATGGATTCCTGAAGATGTAATATGAGATTTTCCTCCAAAAAAAACATAATATATAAAATAATATTTTATGATTACAAGTTCGACAAATGTCGCGATAAATAGTATTGAACTTTAACTTGTCAAGATCACAAAGTTTTTTGGCCTGCTTCTTATCATACAAGACGTTATTGCAAAGTTTTACAAACTTCTTTGTGCACATGAGAGCTTTCTTGACTTTTTTTTCAATAACTTCAAGAACCAAAATCACAAGCTCTTTCACATCATTGATACATATTTCACCTCTTTTAGTCTCTCTCCTCATCACTATCTCATCAAGCACAATAGCACATTTTAAGTATGGTCCCCTTTGTTTTCACTTTTTGATTATGTTTCTTTCTTTGGTTTTGTTTCTTTTTTAAAATTGCAATTTTCTTTGTGCATGTTTAGCAAGTTTTGAAGAGGTGAAAACATGTATCAATGATGTGAAGGAGCTTGTGATGTTGATTCTTGAACTTGTTAAAAAAAGTCAAGAAAGCTCCCATGTACATAAAGAAGTTTGTACAGCTTTGCAATGACGTCTTGTATGATAAAAAGCTTGCCAAAGAACTTAGTGATCTTGACAAATTAAAGTATAATGTTATTTATCGGTATATTTGTACAAATTCTAATCATAAAATACTGTTTTATATATTCTATTTTTTGTAGGAAAAACTCATATTTCATCTTCAAGAATCTGTTGGTGTATAATCGCAAGGATGAGTTCTTGTTCCTATTTAAGATCTAGAACTTGGTCAATATGGATGGGGCATGTTTTCTAAGTAAAGTCAAATCGTCTTTGTAATTTGATAACTGTTTGGAGAGGATTCAAGCAAAGGATTAGGAATTAGACCATATAAGACGCTATAAAAGTTTACCACAAAAAAATCCTTCAGAGCTGGAAACAAGACGAGGGGAGGAAAGAGTGCTGCAACAAAACCTGTTAATAAGATTTTTAAGTATCTCAAAATTTCCATCCGTTTGATGTTGAATATCATTCAGCATTTCCAAGGTGTGGCATAAGAACTTGATAGGGAAGTTCGTGGTCAGGACAATTTAGATCAAATGCTACATGAAGTTGTTGATCGCTACTATATGGAAGTAATTCCTAGAGTTTAGTACCAAATGACCAAGGCACTGTGGAGTGTGGAAAGATGATGATAGACAGGAGAAGAAAGATGACAAAACTTCAAATGACTTTTATCTTCAGAGTTACAGGTTAACGAAATATTTTACTTTTTTTTAAATATAGAGAAAACCTTTAGGGAAATTGTGAAACAAAACTTTTAAACCCATAAAAATGCAAAAGCCCAAAACATCAAGAAAAAAACTAATACTCATTCTACCAGAAACACAAAATCCTTAACATAATATCATTCTAGTGTTTATCTGTTTAGAATTAATCCCAAGACAATGGAATCAAAGCCTTGCTTGACATACCCTAAGAAATTTGCTGAAAATGTTGGAAGCATACAATTGCATCCATTCTAGCTTCATGGTTTTTGCACTTGTTGATCTGCACCCATGTTTAAAACAAATCCTCTGCTCAGAATGTTTCCAAACTATTCTTCACTTTCCCAGACACATTGACCTACACCTCTTAGAAGTCTAAAGTATAATCAATAAATCTAAAATGATGCTCAACTCTTTTCAGTAGCATCAGAAAAAAGACCAACAACTTATGCCATACAACATTTTCTGTAGATTCTGTTGCTGCTGTTGCTATTCCTATTCAACAATATAATAGCACTGACTGAAGAGGTCATCTAATCAACATGTTGTCTACCTCGTCTATATCCATTTCCCATAACTAAATTCTAAGAGCAACTAGGTTAAGTATGAACAATGTGAAACAGACTTAAGGCTAGCACTGGCTAAAGAGGTCATCTAATCAACATGTTGTCTACCTCGTCTATATCCATTTCCCATAACTAAATTCTAAAAGCAACTAGGTTAAGTATGAACAATTTGAAACAGACTTAAGGCAACCCACTGACTGATCATCGTATAACATTCTTAGGCCATTAACCTAACTCACTCATTTCTTGGGTATAGAATTCGAATTCATGTTTTCTTCTTTGGCTTAAGCTTCTTCTTTTCTTACCTTTAGAGTTCCTTGAATAGTTATGTCGTTTGTTGCTTTATTATTATTAAATCCAATTTTTAACAAAGAATAGAAAAATTTGCGAACGTTGCATATTGGTTCAAAATTTATTTTTTTATAGAAGACGAATGTAGTGGACACAGAGATGGGAAGGGTGATGACGACGATGTCCTGAAGGATGCACATGGACATGGGAGAGATGCAACATGTATTGGTGTGGTTTGATTTATAATTTGGGTTTAATTTGGTGATTGGTTTTTGATATATTTGCATGCGCATATTGATATATCTCGAACTAGGGGTCTCAACAGAGTTGTGGTTTTTTTGGAGAGGAAATGTGATAATATGTTGAAGGCAAGCAAGAGGCGAAATGAATGGAGTGTGAAAGAGTTCTTTTTAATGGTTTTTAATATGAGAAAAGAAAGGAGGATCAGGAGAGAAATGGTGGGATTAGAAATGGCTAGAAATAAGTGTTGGATAAACCAAGTTGGTGTTAAGAGATATTACACACTCTTCTCCTAACTTGGGGTTGAATCTAGTATTCAAATAAGATATAACACACTTATTTAAATAACTAGAACCTAAAACTCACACTTAAGGTAACCACCCTTAAGATATAGAATTAGGGGTTTAAAATAGCAAACACATAAGTGTATTACTGATGGAAATTTCAGATTCAAAAAAGTGAGTTACAACAATGGCCAATGGCCGATATAAATAAGCAAGCAAGAAAGGGGAAACTACCAAGTTCTTTCCTTAACAAATCTTTGACAATAATAATCAAATATGGAGTCCTTTCATGGGGGATGAATCAGGGATTTTGTGGGGGTGTTGGGTGACATTAGTTTGTGGTTTTTGATGGGGAAATATTAAGGGATGTGGGCTGTGTTTCTAGGCTGGGCTGGTTTGGCCATATTAGGGGGCAAACGGTGACTGATTTGGGACTTGATTTGGCTCTATATTGATGTGAATATTTAGTGGTTGGGGAGGGACTTCATTTGGCCAGGTTTGGGAACAATGGGTAGTGAGAATGGTTGGGTTATTTGGTGTGTTGTG